GTGCAATAACCTCACCTCGAGCGAGAATGTGCTTGTGTTAGTATTTTACTTTGTTTCTCCCTTGAAGCTCAAACATCCTACCTCGGGAAATTCTCCAACTTTCACCAAGCCATGCGGTAACATCGTTCTACCTCTTATTTTACGCCATTGAGGGAAATATTGAGCATAAGTGGGGCCCCGGGGGGGGGGGGGTAGTTTATTACTATGCTTGTGTGTGTGATGAATGCTTGGAGCCTTGATATATGCAAAAATTTGAGGGCTCCAAGCAATGCATGATCAAAATGGTCAGTTGGTGGGTGAATCTCGTGCTTATTTGGCATCGATCTTGAATTGTTGCATGTAATCGAGTGCATCCTATTATGATGACTGAGAATGCATTAGGGTTGTAATAAACTACCCATGGGTGGCTAGGTATCCATGTGAGTTTTGTGTCAATCATCTTTTTCATGCGTGATAGATCCCTCTCTCCATGGTGTGTAACATTCACCGTTGTCACTAGTGAGTATGATGGAGGCATAGGATTAGTCCACGCCCAAAAGTTGATTGTCCCAAAACATTTTATCCCCTAGTCAACCCCTTTAAGTCGTGTGACTTTGGGGGTCGTTCACGTGTTAGGAGCTTGTTGCTTGTGAGCTTAATGGTGATTGATAGAATGACCCCTCATCCTTTCTTCGTGTCTAAACTTTTGTTAGTCATCCTTGTGTCCTGGATATTGTCTCTTTTGAGCTCCTTCGAGGTTCTACATAGGTGGACTTTGCACGATTCATGCTAGGAATGAAAACCCTTATGTGAGCCACTAGGGGAGCTGATTTGAGCCACCAACGAAAATTGAAGCTTGATTCCTTCCTCTAGGAGTACCAATCGCCTATCTGGAGTCCCAAAACATTTCACTCATCTGCACGATGATGACCATCTCTAGCCTTGTATTCCTTCCTCTCTCTCCATAGAGTAAACTCTTCTTCCACTTAGGTACGAAGAACCTGATCTCTATTAGGAACAATTGTATGAACCTATTTTCGTGGCATTTGATTATTATATGTTCAGTTGAGGCATTAATCAGAGTTATATGAATCTTGATCACGTTTGTATGATTCATGCTTTGACCTAGAACGATAGTCTCTGAATAGGTCAATAGAGCAACCTGAATTGAAAGTAGTGGATCATCAGTATGAGAGTCAATCAGTTCATTACTCTCTACTGGAGTTCAAACCCAGTAGATGAGGTCTTTCCAAATTACCTTGGTAGTTTATTCCAATGAATGATAGTATCTCACAAGATATTTTATTCAAAAGGGTCTGGAGTGCTTTAGTCGAGACTCAGACTATCTCAGGACATTTTGCAGTATAAACATCACTGGTAATGTTTCCTAATACGTAAATGAGGGTTTTGGAGCAAGTTCCGGGAAGATTTGGAGCAAGTCTATAGTGGAGCCGGGGAGAGTATGATTAAAATCTTTCATAAAGTGTGGTCTAATGACAAAATAAAATTTTAAAAAGTAATATATGATTTAACTGTTATTGCAAAGTTAACTAACTGTTATGTCAAAGTTAACTAATCATGAGTTTATGGTAAAAATGGATGTAGGAGAATAAAAATTATTACATAATGTTATTACATAGATATTTTATAGTGTGTGGTGTAATAATAACATCACATTTTAGAAAGTAACATATGATTAAACTATTATGTGAAAGTTAACTAATCATGAGCTTATAGTAATATTGGATGTATGAGATAAAAAACTATTATAGAACGTTATTACATAAAAATTATATAGTGTGGTTTAAATAATAAAATCAAACTTTACTAAGTGACGTATGATGAAACTAATATGTCAAAGTTAACTAATCATGAGCTATCATAAAATTGGATGCATGAGATTAAATTTTATTATAGAACGTGCATAAATATTTTATAGTGTGCGACATACTAATAAAACTAAATTTTAGAAAGTAACGTATGATTAATCTGTTATGTCAAAGTTAACTAATCATGAGCTTATGATAAAATTGAATGTAAAAAGTAAATAAATAACTATTATAGAACGTTTTTACATAAATATTTTATAGTGTGCGGTCTAATAATAATATCAAATTTTAGAAACTAAAGTACGATTTATGTGTTATGTCAAAGTTAACTATTCATGAGCTTATGATAAAATTGGATGTAGGAGATAAAAAAAAAAATTATAGAACATTGTTACATATATATTTTATAGGGTGCGGTCTAATAATATGTTTATATATGCATAAGAAATAACTATCGTACCATAAACTTTACATAATGTATAATAATTAATATGGTTCCACAATTTTTACATATGCTAAACTAATATTATGTAAATACATAATAAGCATTGTAACACACAATGGTTATCTATGCTAAACTAATATTAGTATATATAAAAAGCATTGTAACTTAATATTGAAAATCTTTTTAAAAAGCTTTGAAAGTTAATGATGGGACGGTAATAATAAGGGACAAACAAAGTTAACTAATCATGAGCTTATGGTAAAATTGGATGTAGGAGATAACAAAATTGTTATAGAATATTATTACATAAATATTTTATAGTGTGTGGTCTAATAATAAAAATCAAATTTTAGAAAATAAAGTAGGATTTAAATCTTTCATAATGTATGGTCTAATAACAAAATATAATTTTAAAAAGTAACTAACTGTTATGATTAAACTGTTATTGCAAAGTTAACTAATCATGAGCTTATGGTAAGATTGGATGTAGGAGACACAAAAACTATTATAGATATTTTATAATGTATGGTCTAATAATAAAATCAAATTTTAGAAAGTAACGTGTGATTTAACTATTATGCCAAAATTAACTAATTATGAGCTTATGATAAAATTGGATATAGGAGATAAAGAAACTATTATATAATGTTGTTACATAGATATTTTACAGTGTGTGGGGTAATAATAACATCAGATTTTAGAAAATAACGTATGATTAATCTGTTATGTGAAAGTTAACTAATCATGAGCTTATAATAAAATGGAATGTAGAAGATTAAAGAAACTATTATAGAACATTGTTACATAAATATTTTATAGTGTGTGGTCTAATAATAACATCAATTTTAGAAATTAACGTATGATTTAAGTGTTATATCAAAGTTAACAAATCATTAACTTATGATAAAATCGGATGTAGGAGATAAAAAAAACTATTATAGAAACAACTATTGTACCATAAACTTTATGTAATATGCTAAACTATATTATGTATATATATAAAGCATTGTAACTTAGTAATGAAAAGCTTTAGAAAAGCGTTGAAAGTTAATGATGGGATGGTAATAATAAGGGAGAAACATATTAGAATTCGGGTTCCTAAAAATTGCTACCGTGTGCGCTATCACAGCGGATTCAAGTACATCATGCAGCATGTGAACAGTAACCCGGAATTAGAGTTACTAAAATTAAACATGCTAAAACGTAACATCGTAATGAACAGTGAAAATAATTAATAGGTTGCTTACACTTTCAATTATTTAATGGTTGGTTAAAAAGAAGAAAGGGAGGGAAATAATGAGTGATAAAAAATTGGCCCAAGAAGAAGGAAAAGAGGACCGGAGTTTGAAAAAATTGGTCCAAGAAGAAGGAAAAGAAGACTGGAATTTGTGGTGGGTTCGGCCACACCTAATTATATCACTAATGAACAGTAATTTGGGGAGAAATTTTCGTGAGGAACAGTATAATTACTTCAGGCATACTTGTGCCTTTAATATATTAATTAATTAATTTCGTATGGAACAGTGCAGATTACTTGCACTATTAATTAATTAATAATTAATTAATTAATTCTTCTTGTTGTTTTGCAGTCACAGCTTGTGAATCTAGTGTGGCTTGAACTCTCTCGCTGCATAAATTTAGAAGCAGTCCCAAACCTATCAGGGTCTCCGAAGCTAGAGCGCCTCCTTCTCAGCGGGTGCAAAAGGTTGATTGAGCTACTATCTCACGTTTAAGATCTGTACAAGCTGGTAGTACTGGACCTCCAAGATTGTACAAATCTACGGAGCCTTCCACCCAAACTCAACTCAAAGTTTCTCAACACGGTGCGATTGTCCAACTGCCCCAAGGTCACTCGTTGTCTTGAGATTAATTCAACGGAGTTGGAGCGTTTGTATTTAACGGAGACACCTGTCACAGACTTGCCACGTGCAATTTACAATATCAAGCAGGGTGGCGAACTTCGCCTCTGCGGCAAACACATCACCCGCTTCCCTGCGATCACAACAAGCTTTGAAGGCTACAAATATGGAAAAAGAAACACATAGCTAGCAAATCTCCAGAAGATAGAAAGAGCTGGATCGATGCTTTGAAGGCTGTCGCTGAACGTGCTGGTCATACTTCACAGGCAATCAAGTAAGTCTTCCTTACTTTCCTAATTAAGAGCCAACTTTGTTACTAATAGTAATTGCTTCTCTCAAAACATGACTTCCCTTTTCTCATATGGATTTTTGTTTTCCGTTTTCCTTTTGTTGTACCCTTTGGGGTTATTAGGATTGATTCTGAACTAGTAGAGGAGATAGTTAATGATGTTCTGAAAAAACTCGCAGAGATTTCACATAGAGTGAAGTTTGATCACTTGGTTGGCATGGATACTCGAGTTTCCGAGGTCGAACAGCTATTAGCCATGAATGTAGATGATTTTCACATTATTGGTCTTTGGGGGATGAGTGGTATAGGGAAGACCACTCTGGCTACAGCTTGCTACCACTCATTTGTATCCTTCAGAAAAGAAATGACGCATCACTTTGTTCTGAACGTAAGTGAGAAGCTTGAAAAGCAATATGAAATCGAAGGAATGGTACAAGAACTCTATTCAACATTATTGTCAGAGGATAACATAAACGGCCACAACCTGGGTATTGGTTATAGAAGGGAGCGCCTTTCTCGTCTTAGGGTGTGATTGTTCTTGATAATGTGGAAACAGTACCCAATTGGAATAACTGTTGCTGGGAGATAAGCAGGCTGCAAATCTCTTTGGTCCGGGAAGCAGAATTATTGTGACAACTCGAAACAGAAGAGTACTTGAGAATGCAGGGGCTCATATATATGAGGTGAAGCATTTGCATGCTCATGAATCGCTTCAGCTGTTTGGGATACATGCATTGAAAAACTGTCTTCCGCCTGATGATTATTTGGATCTATCGGGTGTCGCCGTATCATACTTCAAGGGAAGCCCTTTAGCTATAAAGGTCTTGGGATGTGCATTGCTTAATAAGCAACAAAGTTATTGGAAGAGCTTCCTGTCTGAATTGGAGAGAAATCCAAAGCTAGAAATTCTTGATGTTCTTCGAAGAAGCTACAACGAGCTTGAAATTGTCAAGAAAAGAGTATTTTTGGATATTGCTTGTTTTCTTCCAGGAGTTCTGAAATCTATAGTGATTAAATTTTTTTCCACTAGTTACATAGAGGATTTAATTGAGAAATCCTTGATTAGCTATGTCTTCAGCAAAGGTGTAGAGAGGATTGAGGTTCATGACTTGCTAAGCGAAATGACTTGGGTTATAGTTAATGAGGAATCAAAATTTGAAAATCGCAGTAGATTGAAGAATGCTGATGATGTTTACAAGTTATTGGCAGTCAGAGATATCAAAAATATCAAGAAGATTCAGTAATTTGAACATTATGAAACCGAAAGAGAAGCAAAGGAGTGCCTTTGAGCGAGGTAGAACCACTGAAGGCATTCTGTTGAACCTTTTCGAAGCCATGGATATACATATGGAAGCCAACGCCTTTGAAGGGATGACATCTCTTAGTTTTCTCAGGTTCTCCTATTGGAGAAATGGGCATGAAACCTCTAAAGTTCATGTACCATACGGTGGCCTTGTCACTCTTCCAGATAGTCTAAAATGGTTGGAGTGGCAGAAATTTCCTTCAAAATCTCTACCATCAAGATTTTCTCCAGAAAACCTTGTTGTACTTAATCTACGTGCTAGCCCACTAATGAAAAGATGCTGGAAAGCCAAGGTATGTTGAAACAATGATTTCAATTTTTTTGGATGGGTAGATTCTCTCCTTGTAATTAGGGCTGGGATGCAAGGAGGTAATACGAAATGTGGAAAAAGAAAAGTGATGATCATTCTAACTATGTTACTTGGTGGAATTAAAATCTTCTATATTGCCTTTCTTTTTATTTTATTATTATATATATTCTTGTTAATTTAATCTCGATCCGGTTATACCTTGAGTATTTATGTCTAAATTAGAATATTTCTATTTATTTTTTCACAGGAATTAAAAGTTAATATGTTATTCATAAAATTATAATCAATCTGAAGTAGAACTAGTTTAGGCCTCCCATAGACATGTCACCTAGTGGTTCAAAGATGGTTAAAGGTCCATGGCTTGATAGTAAAGGTAAAAACTAAAGCACCAATACTTTATACCATTGTAAAATTCCTCCATGTTCATATGTTCCGTCTTATATAACTACATCATGGTATAAAATTTATAAAATCATGGTTACAGCAAATGCTATATCTAGCTGGATATTACACGTACAAGTATAATAACCGCCAACTAAACGTCTATAAACAGATGCATCATCCAAAAAAGTACCATCCTTACTTGATAATCTAATACCAAGATTGGATGGGGTTGAAACAGGTTTGGCAGCAAGCAAACCTGAGTCTGCCAATTAATCTAACACATCTTTTCGTTGGCAGACTAATATTCCAAGTAGATTTCCTTGCAATTTCGAGTCCGAGAAAATATTTGACATGACCAATATCTTTTATTTTGAAACCAGAATCAAGATTAGACTTAAGAGACTCTATTTCAGTTAAAAAATCTCCAGTCATGATCACATCATCAACGTACACCAAAACAACAAGGAACTTACCATCTTTATATTTAGTAAACAATGCATAATCTGCTTTAGATTGTTGGAATCCAGCAGTAAGCAAGAAATTCCATTGTCTACTTGCCTCCTTAAGGCCATAAAGGAATTTGTTTATTTTGCATACAAGATTTTTGGAATTAGGAGGAAGGGGCAAGCCTGGTGTACTTTCATGTAGATAATTTCATCCAAATCATCATGTAGGAATGCGTTATTTACATCCAATTAGTAACAATCACTGGAATCCTAGGCCAAACATGAATAATTCTAGATTTATGTAAATTGTGTGAGATAGTGACTTTGACTTTTTTGAATCACAATCTTGAAAATATCATTCGTTGACACTTTATACATCTCTGTGGAGGACTTGATTTTATATTAAGTATCATTGGTTAATATGTTCAATGTTGGAATTTCAACATGAACATGCAACCAACTTAATTAGTAAGAACTTAAAAATATCATTTGAGTGTTTGACAAATTTACCCAGAATAAAAAGTGTTTTATTAAATATTGAATTACAATATGAAAGACTTTAAGTACTATGGTAAGTTGGTCAATATAAATGATATATGAAACGCTTATCCGGCCAACGGGCCGGCTATAAAGCTAGTTAGTCAAAGAGAGGGTTGAAGGACTTTTACTCAGGAAAATTACTTTGTTAATGAGTCGGTGAATTCGTAATGCTTAGGGATCGAAACTCTTAATAAATTATTTTTCTATTATTGTTGGAGTGGATTTATTTGTCATTTTTTTGCCATAGGTATTGATTTATTTGTCAATTGAGAAGTGCGTTTCTTTTATCATATACTCAAAAGTGAACAGAGAGATAATTATATTTTAGTCTTCTTGTTGTTTTGCAGCCACAACTTGTGAATCTAGTGTGGCTTGACCTCTCTCGCTGCATAAATTTAGAAGCAGTCCCAAACCTATAAGGGTCTCCGAAGCTGGAGGGCCTCTATCTCAAGGGGCGCAAAAGGTTGATTGAGCTACCATCTCACGTTCAATATCTGGACAAGCTGGTAGTACTGGACCTCCGAGATTGTACAAATCTGCGGATCCTCCCACCCAAACTCAACTCAAAGTTCCTCAACACGGTGCGATTGTCCAACTGTCCCAAGGTCACTCGTTGTCCTGAGATTAATTCAACCGAGTTAGAGATTTTGGATTTAATGGAGACACCTGTCACAGCCTTGCCACGTGCAATTTACAATATCAAGCAGGGTGGCAAACTGCGTCTCTGCAACAAACACATCACCTGCTTCCGCCGCAATCACAACAAGCTTGGAAGTGTTGCGGTTGTGCCATACTACAATAACAGAGATGGATTGTTATGATGGTGATGATCATCATCAGCTGGCTTCTTTGCCAAGATTTGTTGGATTGGCGTTGGTTGGCAACCCCCAACTCAAGTGCTTGTCAAGTAACGTCTGGAACATGGTCTCTCAAACGCTCATTCTCGGAGATTGCCCGTCGATTGAAAGTTTGCCGGAAATCTCACAGCCTGTGACTGGCTTAACTATGCTTTCTATAAAAGGATGTCGCAACCTGAAGAGCTTTCCAACCGGCATCAACAATCTGAAATATTTGCAGATCCTCGTTTTTGTTGGCACGGATATTGAGTCCCTGCCTTCGGCTATTGTGGAACTTGACCAGCTCTCCCATTTAGAGTTGGGTTCCAACAAAAGCTTAGAGTTCGTCCCGAGCGACATCCATAAGCTTATCAAGTTATCCTACTTGTCATTGGCGGACTGTTCGAGGATTAAATATTTGCCAGAACTCCCACCCAATCTTCTAACTTTGGTTGTAAGTGATTGCACTTTGCTACAAGCCTTACCAAGCATCATAGGCAAGCTGAGATGGAAGGAACTCTACTTTGAACATTGCCCGCAACTGGATCCGTATCTTCCTCAAGAAGTAGTGCTTAATTTCCATAATCATGCAACGTCAAATCTACATCCTCAGGTATTTAAACATTACAACACTATAATTAATTATGTTATATTTATGATTAGTAGTGGCGGTAAATCTTGAAGATGATTTTTATAATAGTGTCTCTCTCTGTTGGTTTTAGTGTGTTCTTCAACATTCCGGGAGTGAAATTCCAAGGTGGTTTGCTTACAGAAGCCCGAATTATGCAAGTGATTCATGTCCGATGCTGCAATTGACTCTTTCAAACTGCACTACTAAGCGGCTAATCAAAGGGATTGCATTTGGAATGGTGTGTTCTTCTAATGTTGGGTTTGTCGATATATCTATCGCTTGCGTTTGCACTACCACTCCTGTATATTGGAGATCTCCCAATTTTGGTTTTGGTGGGGCCTCCCAATCAGATAACGTATATATGTGGTACGACAAGAACCTGTTAGGTACGACCCTGGAAGGAATACAAGATGAAGCAAAACCTTGGTATGAGAGAGATGCTGGCCTCACTGTTACCTTCATATTTTCCCTTCAGCCAGTCAAGGAAGAATATGCCAAGAATGTAAAGAGAATAAAAATCAAAAGTGTTGGCGTCTCTCTATTGGACTAACTGCTAGCTCATATATAGTTTGTTGGTCTTATGGAGAACAATTGTGTTTGTTTTGTTGTAACTCGTCTCTAGACATTCCTCAATCATTTGCTGTGTATTGCATAACATAGTTGTTCATTCGCTCTCTTGGCCTCCTAAGAAATTGTCATCAATTTTGGACTTCATACAGAGTGCATTTAGAATTTCATATGGATACCAGCAGAGAGCATGAAAGTTCGTTGTGGGCAATTTGACCCCCTATGTTTGCTATATTTAGACTGGTTATTAGTGCAGGTTGGAATTGGATGCATCAAATATTATTCATGCCTAGCTTGTTTGTGCCGGGTTGCTGATCAGTTCAGATATACTAGCTTATTCTGGTAGCCGGTAATCCGTAATTTTTCACCCCTTCGTTCATATTCTGGGTTCTAGGTTTATGACTATAGTCCATGTTGCTGATCTATAAATGAACCGAAACCATGGGATCCCTTAACAGTCGCTAACAGACTTCAATTATTATTTGCTGAAAAAATGACTTGTCCATTTGAGTCAAGCTGATTAGTGATTAGAGATAACAAAGCTAATCCATTTTAAGGATTCCTTCTCCCTAGTTGCTTTCCATTGCCAGTTTGCATGATCCTCTTCTTTCTCCCTTCAGCTGCACCATCACCAAAGATATGATGGTCGGTCCAAGTTTCAGAAGGATCAAACTGCGGCGGATTAGAAGTTGTGGGTGCTTTTTGTAAATAGGCAACTACCTAGTAAATAGCTTATTCTTTGTTTCAGCCGTTACGGCGCCGTTTCTCTTTAGCTCCGGCGTTCCAGGCTTCCAGCGGCAGTGACACTCGTAACATCTTCGTCAAACCCCGATTACAAGAAGCTTTCCTTCGATGATTCCAAGCTGTTTCAGGCCGTCGAGGGAGCTTCGATTCCAAGCTGTATCATCTGAGTAACAACTAATAAGAATGAAAGCATATCTAAATTGGTTTGGTGAGAAATTACACTACGAATACTTCATTTTCATTCTTGGCTCTTCAGTTCTTCACTGTGAAATAGCGCTATTCCTGACCATTCGGAGTTCATGAGAGTTGGAAGCGATAGTTAGCGATGTTCCGAAAAGACTCACAAGGATGTCACCGAGTGTGCCGTTCAATACGTAAAACTTATGGAGGTAAAGTAATTTTTTATGAATTAATTAAATAAATATAATGCATAAACCTTCTGTAATATAAGTTCGAATGAAAACTCCTCAATTTTAACTAAAATGTTGACCAACTCAATTCGGTTAGTTTTACATTAAAATAATTTAATTAACGATGATCTTTTTTGAAACCTTCCACTCATTATTAAATAAACTTCCTTTATTGTTATCTATAATATTAACCATCTCTTCAATTAGTATTACACAAAGGTTCCCTAGTACAAATTAATTCAATATACTAATTTAATTAAATGTGAGATTTATATATAAATTAATTTACCAAAGATTTATATAACACGGTTCTAATTTCTATAAAAATTACGTAAAATTTTAAAATATATTGTTTAAACTTATAAGGTTTTAGTTATGTCTTATATACCGATTGAAAAATGCAATACGTAAGCCTTCCAAGAACAGACGCCTCACCGCTGTCCTACAAACCGCCTAGTACTTACTAGGCACAAACAGGGCTCTGGATAGTATAACAACACCCTTTGTGTTGTTATAATAACAACATGATTCATTAAGGGCAAAATCGTAAACTGACAATAAAAACAAATTAAATTTAAATTAATTATCTGAAAAAAAACCCTTCTCCTCCTCCTCTGTTCTTTCCCACTCGCATCTGACTTTCTTCCGTCCCTCACCATTGTGACTTCACCGGCGCCGGCGCCGATCCAAACTTTCGAGCAATCAATCCTCCTCCGCCATCCCTCAATCCCCGCCATCCAAGTCGTTTCTCCTCTTTCCGGCTTCGACGCCGACTCCAATTCATCGATTTCAAAGGTGCGATCATCATCAGATCTGCTAAGGTTTTGGAATCGACGATGATTGTGCCGACGAGGGGAATAGAGACTCGATCGACGGAAACGAGTGGAACTGAGTGTTCGCTGATGAGGCCGTTGCGGTAGCGGAAACTGGCAGGGAGATCTTCGGCTGCTGCTGCAGATCCGAGCCGACGGCGGAAGGAGCTCGCAAGGTGCAGAGCGAGAGGCTCTGACTTCACAAACTAGGCCGCTGTGGTAGCGGAATCCGCAGGGATCTTCATTTGTTGCTGGAAATCGAAGCCAAAGGCGGAAGGACTTCACATGTCTAAGTAGGTACGTGGAACTCGGAGATCAACAAGCAGCTGAACCAGGCGGAGTTCGAGGCCCTGCTGCAGGAGTTCAAGACCGATTACAACCAGACCCACTTCGTCAGGAACAAGGAGTTCAAGGAAGCTGCAGACAAGATGCAAGGCCCTCTCCGTGGGATCTTCGTCGAGTTCCTCGAGCGATCTTGTACCGCCGAGTTCTCCGGTTTCCTCCTCTACAAAGAGCTGGACAAATTGACAGAAAGAGGAAAGGTAAATACAAGTTTAATTACTACATAGCAATTAGAGGATTTATCATATGGAATCGTGAAAAAAGATGTTTGCCTAATGAATTACCTTTCTGCAGGGGAGCAGCACCGGCAGCCATGGAAGAAGGGAGGCCTCGCTGGAGTAAAAGTAGGAGAAGGGTTAGGGAGCAATGTGAAACAGCAATTATATATATTTCTTTCAATATAGATATGAATTTTGAGGTTTTTATATGGTTTTGATGGTTATTTTTATGTTTTTCTAGTGTTTTGGAATGTATTATTGTGTTTATGATATGTATTTAGGAGTTATTGGTATGAAGATCACAAGTATCTCCTAAGCATACCAAAAACTTTATAATATAGACCACAAACATGGTAAAACAAACCATAGAAAGCATACCAAAAACCTTCAAATGCAAAGCACAAGTCTCGAAAAACATACTAGAAACACAAGAAAGCAAACCAGTAATATTTCTAAAACACACCAGAAACTTCATAAAACAAACCACAAACATGATAAAATAAGCCACAAAAAGCATACAAAAAACCTACTAATCCAAACCACAAATCCTCTAAAACAAACCAGAAATCGCACAAAACAAACCACATAATTTTCAAAAGCAAACCATAAACCTCATAATGCAAACTAGAAACAATGTAAAGCAAACAACAAAAAGCAAACCACAAACGTCCTAATGCAGACCACAAATATATTAAAACAAACCAGAAACCTCACAATGCAAACCACAAAGTTTTTGAAAGCAAACCAGAAACTTCTCAATGCAAACCACAAACACGATAAAGCAAACCATAAAAGGCATAAAAAAATATGAGAAACCAAACCATAAATCTCACAATGCTAACCATAACATCCGGTGATTGTTGACCGTTGACCGGTCAACGAAGTTCGTTGACCGAACTCCGGTGACCGTCAGTGAGCAGATTCCGACGCCGATAGGCAAATTCCGGCCCCGGTGACTAGATTCCGACGCCGGTAAGCATATTCCGACGCCGGTAAGCATATTCCGGCCACAAAATAGCATATTCCGGCGACAAAAAGCATATTCCGGTGACCGGCGACCATTTTCCGGCGACCGGTGGCAGAATTCCGACGACCAAATTTTTGGGCAGAAAATAAAAAAAATTTATTTTTTTATTTTTTTTATTTTTTTTAATTTTTTTATTTAAACATATTTTTCATAATGACAATTATACCCCTGTTTTGATTTTACACTAGGTCAACTCATCTAATAAAAAGTCATCACAATCCTAGCTTCCTATTGGTTGGGGACTAGTGTTGTTACAATAACAACACAATGGGTGTTGTTACAATAACCGGTCCCCACAAACAGTTAGGGATTAAACAAACGAGTACTATTACACACTATTATATGATATAATTTTACTAGCTACTGCTTAAGCAAACTAGTGTAGGTTGAGAGTTGAGACTGGAGCCCAGTATTGTGTCCACAAAACCACTCTGGAATTGGATCAAGGCCCGTTTGAGTTAAGCCTGGAAGACCATAAGGGCTAGGGCTGGGAAAATAGACCAGACCGTTAGAAAAAACCATGGTCCAAACCGTACCACACAGTTTGGTCCGGACCGTAGACCGTTAAGTATGGTCTGGTCTGGTCTATGGTCTGTATTATTTTATGTTTTGATCTCTTGGTATGCTCTGGTCTGGACCGCGGTTTATCGGACCAAACTGTGGACTCAACCAACTTGTCAATACGTGTTAACAGCCCATTCGACCACTCTTCCAACTCCCACAACGACACCCAAGTCTCAACCTTAGTTTGTGAATCTCGTCCCTCCTTCATTCACAACCCCATTTAACCAGAGAGTAGAGATAATTGTGTCTCCATATGATATTATGTTAATGTTTAGGACATTATGGTGCAAGTTGGGATGCTTTTACTTTGTAGTTTGTATCTTTGTTATGTACTAAGATTTAGGGTATCAAAATTATTCATGCATGTTAGGATTAATGTGTTAAGGAAAATAACAATGATTTTTCTTGGTTATTTGTTCAATTTTTTGTGTGGTTGACTAAACAAATTATTCATTTTTCGTTGAGTGTGGTCTATCTGGACCAGACCAGACCGCACATGCGTGGTCTGGACCGGATCGTATAGTTTGTGGTTTGTTCTATGGTCTATACTTCAGCCTCTCGGTCTGGATCATAGACCGTATATATGGTCTGGTCTGGACCAGATCGCACCGTTTTCCAGCCCTAATAAGGGCCTTCTGCTTACGAATAGGGATGACAATAGAGGGGATTTAGGTGAGATCTCCTAAACTATCTCATCATCATCTCTAAATAGCTAAATTTATACCCGCAACATACCCATGCGAAAAGAGATTTTGCAACTTCATCTCTATATCCACATTTTTCGAATATATAATGTTCTCACCCTATATCCAATATTATACCTAGAACTAATATAGTAAAACTTACTTAATATGTAAATTTTCGGT